CAGCAACATTCCTAGAAGAGCTCACCAAATACAAACAAAGGAAGCTTTATTTATGGGAGCGCCCTGGGGCCCTAACCAGCCTAATCCAATTTGGGTTTTGCAACAAACACACTTCAGTGAGTTTGAGACCACATCCCATATTTCTTAAAAGACCTCACATTGCAAAAGGCTCAATCACTTCTAAAGGGCACGCAAACTCGCAAACTCGTGAGAGCATGGTGGATAGACGTGAGCATTGGGCGACGACGATGGAAACCTGGGTTTCAATCTGTGGTCAGCCATGGAAACTCATTGGCTAACCATGGGCAAATCACACACTCCGAGACCCAGAGGAAGGCAAAGACAAAACCCACTCTGAGCAAAGCTTTCCAAGAAAACCCTGCGATAGGTTGCCTTAGGTTTGCTGTAAAGCATGAACAACTTGGAAGACACACAACAATAATAGAATATTTCACAACCCAGCAGAAAAAAAATCCTTGTTGTCTTGGTTTTTAGGTCTGTTCTTTGGAGTCATTTGTGACGCTGATTCAGAAAATTGTATTGGATAGACCATCGTTCCTTAAATATGGTCATCATGATTTTCTGTGGGCAAGCAGGTGAAGAGTGGTATATGGCATATGTTCTGTATCTCAAAAACTAGAGTGGATAGAGGGAAACTGGTGCCATTCTTGGGATCCGCAGCTCAAAGATATAAAAGGGGCTAACATTTTTAGGCCCTTCCACACAGCTGAATAAAATCCCACATTATCTGCTTTGAACTGGAAAACACGGCAGTGTGGACTCAGATATCCCAGTTCAAAGTAGATATTGTGGGATTTTCCACCCTTGATATTCTGGGTTATACAGCTGTCTGGAAATGTGTGTTGGCCAGCGTTATTAGCAAAAAAATTGATAATTATCCATAAATGGATATAATGCCACTAATTGGCTGTTTTGTTCAAATTAGCATCTTGGTATAGGTGGGAATGGTATTTACCTATTGAAAGTACACATTTATTTGCATCGACATACTTTACACCCCAACTCTCCATGTGTCCTGAAAGACTGAGTGTGTCCTGAAAGACTGAGGCACGCTCTGCATTTGTGCATCCTTTCTCCATTCCCCATGACAAAATGATGCCGCTCTCTCCAATAAGGATGAAGATGCATCAGCAATGCACACAACACCGCAGTTGTCATGATCAATGCATCTCTACAAGTTACAACTGCTTTGAGAATTACAATTTGCCAATACATATGGATATAATAAACTACAGATCTTTGGGCTAGATTCCCAACCACACATATTGGGTTTGGGTTTTTTTAGGATGGTAGTGTATACACATATTCCATCCATACTTAGTGCTTGCTTAGAAAGAATTGCAAGCAGGCTCTTCATAAAACTGTTTACAAGAAAAGGCAACACAAGAATTGGTTAGCAACAAATACTGGCAAAACCACAAAGCCCATCTATTTGAAGATCCCATTTTTTACTGTGGATGCTCAACATATTTGTGAAAACCTTCTCCTTCCTGCAAAGTAGCCTTTGCATAGGGAACCACTAGCTTCATGGTAGCATGTGAAATGGGTTCCAGGATGGAAATGATAAAAGTTGGCACTTTTTAAAATAGAAGGGATGGAATCTGCAGAATAATCAAAAAACAACACAAAACTATAGGAAAAACAAACAGAAAAAATAAGTGATCTGGGCAAGTTTGCTGTTGCATATCCCAACAACAAAAATTTTGGATTTTTGTTTTGTTTTTAGGCCTGTTTTGGGGGGTTATTTGGGGCACTCATTCAGAAAATCGCTTTGGATAGACCACGTCAACTCTAGTTTCTTAGATATGGTTGAATTTATAAAATTTATAAAGTTTATATCATAAATCTGTGCTTTTGGTATTTTCATGTAGTACATTTTTTCTTTTCTTTTTAATATATTTCCTTCATGTTTCAAAGATATGAATTTGAAACTACATTAAAATATAATGTAATTTTATGGGCAAGTAGAGGGATGAGTGGTATATGGCATATGTTCTGCATCTCAAAATCCAGAGCTGGTAGAAGGAAACCAGTGCCATTTTAGGAATCAGCAGATCAAATATACCCCAAAACAGGCCTAACATTTGAGGGACCAAAATATATGTTAGGCAGTATTACAAATGGAGATTAAAATTATGGAAAAAGAAGGGCAGGACATGGAAAGCAACTATGAAGGAAGGAGACAAGATCTGGATGTGGAAAGATATATAATTAAATGTCAAAATCAGAATCATCTACACAATTTCTATGGATGGTTGTGAAAGGAGAATAGCAAAGAAAGTTGACAGGAAGAAGATCTGCCCATGTGAAATGTGTGGTGGAGGAGACCTTCTGTGAAGACCATGATCTGATGGAAAGACAAGTATACAAAGACCAATGCAAATCAAACTTCAACTCTCACTACAAGCCAGAATGACCTGAATGGTGGCTTTGTACTTTAGACGCAACATGAGATGACCTGGCTCACTGGAAAAGACAATCATGTTGGGCAACCACTAGGAAGGGAGAACAACCATATCACAGATGGATTGATTCAGTCAAGGAAGACACAGCCCTGAACGGCAAGACCTGAAAAAAGCCATTTGTGACAGGGATTCGTGGAGATCTCTCAGTTACAACAAATTTGAAAAACAACTCTTTGATCATCGAATAAATGCAAATTAAGACATGCATTGGTTGTCCTTTAGAACACAACATTTGGTGAAAGGCTTACAAGTCAAACGGCAGAGCACATTATATGTATGCCTGGGATTCACACTTCACTTGATGACTGCAGACTCCATTGCTGACCTGTGTGCTTGAATGAATCACAGATATAAAACCACCAAAAGAACTTTTATAATACCTGAAAACCCAAAAATCTGCAGGTGGATGTGGTTTGTCCAGATAATCAGGTAATTAAATTGAGATGACACAAATGCTGCGCAGGCATGCATGGACTTCAGCGACTGGCTATCAACAGAAATGCACTGCTTTTGGTAATATGAATATTCCATCTGGGGTATTAGATCAGCACAAGAGAAAATAATTTTGCATTTCTTAGCCTCAGATTCATTCAAACTCAAAGCAAAGTCAGTATCACAATCTTCCAAAGCTATTTAGATAGAAAATGAGGAGGGATGGAGTGCCCAAACAATAGATCCTGCTCAACACCATTAATTAGCATCAGTCAAAAGGTTATCAGTTGGGATCCTGCCATACAGCATGTTTGGAAAGTACATAGAAAGCTTCTGTGTTTGTGTTCCAAATTTGTTTTTTTTTAAAGCATCCAATAAAGCACCTGCAGCTCTGACATACTATGCACAAGCTAAATGGTATGCACATATTTTGAAGCATAAGGGAAGTGGGCTGGATTGCCTCGAATGGTTGGCTTCCTCTCTTACAAATATTTTCTCATCTTAGCATCAGCTGTGGTGTTTCACAGACCTGTGATCCTCTCAAGATTTCCATTGTGGATGTGCCTTCAAGTCATCTGTTGACATATGGAAACTCCATATGGAGTTTTCCGTATGTATAGGACTTAAAACCCATCCATTCTCAACTAACATGGCTGATGGATTGTTGGCTTGACACACATGAAAGGCAGTTCTTTTATCTTCATCTAGCTTTGGAGGAGAAACCTAGACTGATTTCTTTTGATACACAACAGAAGTGCAAACCATGAAGCCTTCCAGATGTTGTTGGGAATGTGGCTCCCAGTATTTCTCACCATTGGATAGGCTGGTCAGTGCAACTGCATTAGAAGTAGGGGGAAGCTGTACATAATTCTTATCTCCTGCAATGCAAACAACATTCCACCACTATCTTGCATCTTATGTTGATGGTGGGTCCTATATGTTGGGGCATTGGGTCCATTTAAAGTTTTAATTGAGACATTATCTGAATCATCTCCATACAGTAAGTTCACCATCTTGGATAGCTCCTTCAAAGCTATCCAAAACCTGTACCTTCACTGTTCCACCATCATGAGATCTATCAGCTGCCACTGATGCCACATGACATGGAATGGGTGGTAAGAGGGTTGGATGGATTTGGGGAGTCATATGGAGAGTTGGGGTTTTTAATCCAGGAAACATTCTTTTGTGGTCATGTGCAATGTTATTAAATGTTATAGTTGTGCTTATCATTACTGATGCTAAATGTTGACTTTGGTGCTACTCTTGTTGGAAGTAACCAAAAGGGCTCCAGCCAAAAAGTAAAATCCAGGCCATCTATGCAATGATGTATAGAATAGACCATAACGCCATTCTAGGTTGACTACAGCACATGTACACTTACTACACAATCCTCCTTTGAAGGAATACCAATTTTGGATATAGCAGACTGAACCGGAGATTAGCCTTTTCCCAAGAACTACATTTCTCACAGCTTGGAAACATTACTTTTTGGACTGTAACTCCCAATGTGGCAATACAGCCAAATCTCAGTATTGGATGGAGTTAGGTTCCAAGACAATCACCACAGTGGATACCTAAATCCATGGATGCTGAAGTCCCATTATATACAATGGTGTGATAAAATGGTATCCTTTGTGTCAAATGGCAAAATCAGTGGAATTTTATTATTTCTTTTTGGAATATTTTTGAGCTGTAGTTGGTTGAATCTGTGGGTGCAGAATCCATGTATAGGGCTGGCCAACTGTAATTTTTTTTTTCCTGCTCTTTCCTTCACTTTTAGGTGTGCTATTTTTCTTGCAAGTTAAAACTCGGATGTACACATCACTACAACATCCAAAGACTGGTATAATATGATCTTGGCCCAACCACTGGAATCGTACCTATAATTTCAGTGGATGGGAAGTACACTGCATTTAATACATCCTTCTGTCTCTTAAGCCTATCCTAGTTTCGAGGACTTATTTATCCCCTCCTTTTTTATACCAGTAGGGCAAATTCACTCTCAGTGACCATTAAGACACTTTTCTAATTTATCGGAGAAGTCATACTTATTTCCATGGGATTGCACATGTAAATAAAACATTTAGGAATCAAGTTCAAATGCTTTTGGTTGCAGAGGAGATATTTCAATTCATGTTAACTGTGCTTGTCATAGCAAGGACATAAGGCCACGAGGGAAAAAGGCACTGTGGGATTTAAAAAAACAACAACATAAATATTGTAACATTAGTCAAAACCAAAACAGAAAGCGCAGCTCTATAGAGAGTGGAGGAAAATATCAAAGAATCTCCAAAATGCATTTGTTCATATTCTAGCATCAAGCATAAGTACCAGTTTGTCCAGACTCTAAATTACCCAAAATTCAGTTCTTGAACCTCTACCAAAGGGGTGAGGTGGCACGCACACACACACAATAAATTAAGCCATCAGAAAAACTGGACTTTTCCAACACTTCAAAAATGATAAAGGGACATCAACAACTATAAACGGAACTTATGATACCAATAAAAACTTGAGTTCCCTTTCGAGCAATTTATACACAAAGCAAAATATTCTGGGTTGCACAATTCCAAGTCCTAAAAGAGCCCCCCTGACTACTTCTGCCACTCCACTGACTCTAAAACCTTAGAAAGAGTTGTAACATTTCAGAAACTCCAAACATTGTGAGGGTAGAACATTTAAATGCTTCTGGAAAACATACATAGAGGGAGAAATTGAGGGAAAAAATGTGTTAGTTGCGATTGTGCTTGCTTTCTACCTCAACCAAGAAGGTAACAGTAGATAGTGAGGTATCATCTAGGATAGTAATTAAAACCAAAACCAAAAAGAAAGTCCATCTCTGTCAATGCCCATGGTCTACAAGTAAACTTACTTCCAGACTGAAAAAGCAAGAGTTTCTTCCCCAATCTTTTCTTTAGAAAGATGATTATTGTTCCTATTTAATATTTCAGAGGATATATTTTTTAGAAAATACATTGAAGTGTTGCAGATCTAATGAAACTATTTGGATAATAGTTGTAAGTCAATCCATCCTGCAGCAGACCATACTTTGTCTGAGTGATACTTCCATATTACGAGTTCCTCTAAAGCCGGTGTCACAAAAGTGTGATTTCATGCAAACAACACATGGCAACCCCCTCCCCCCAATTCCTAATGGAGATGCCCACTTATCTAAAGTGGACCCTTCAAGTAAGCTTTTTTGGGGGGAGGAAAAATGTCTAATGTGTATATTTTTGATTAGATAAGAAAAACAACACTCTGTGCTTCTAGACCCTGCATGAGAAGCCAGGGCCCTTGTGGGGAAAAAGCAAATCAAACAAGTGTCATTGTCGTTTGGGGCTCGTTAGTTTACAAATCTTGCATATCTTCATCCATCTCTACAGTCTGGAGCTTGGCCAGCTGTTTTTTGTCTGCCTCCAGCTCCTCGCAGATGGCGTCAACCATGTTACTCATGATGTATTTGGTTTTCGAATCCAGCATCATGGAGCCGCTAACCGATTTGCTATCAGGATCGGGTAAGAAGTTTTCCTTGAGGTTGGAGATGGACTGCAGGATTAACCGCTGCTCTCGTGTAAAATGGGGGTGAACTTGCACGGAAGGGTGAGGTCCGACGTGATTGCTACTGGCCAGGCCGAGCCCTCCTAACGTCGGCTGCATGGGGGAAAGGGGCATCAGATCCTGGCTGGGCAGGAGAGAACAGTTCTGGAGTGTCGTGTAGTTGGCATTGCCAACAGAAACCACAGTCGTCCCACTTGTTGCAGGAGCTGAAATGGGCAAACTCTCCGACACTACCGAGTTGAGTTCCTCCGCACTCAAAAGAGAAGGAGGTCCCAAGGAGAAGTTCGGTGGCAGAGTCACATTAACTAAGGAGGTGCCGCCCGTCTGAAGACCTCCACCAGAAAGACTGTCTGAAGGTGGAAGGCTAACAGGGAGCTGGGAGTTTTGGCCAAGAGGCATCACTTGAGAAAACACCAAGCTGGCTTCCAGTTCTTCTTGTTTGACTGGTCCGATGGCCTGGCTCGAATTCGGGACCGTGTACAGCACCGTGCTGGGAGCAAGTGAGCTGAAAAACACTTTCCCTTGTTGGGCAGTTGTAGAGTCACTTGTAAAGGTGCCACTGCTGGGTGTGCTTTGGTTTAAGGAAATATTGCCTGTGGTGAGAGAGAAAGGAACAAAACAAAGCAAAACAGTCTTAATGTTGTGTGGTCTCTTACACAGACATACGTCTGCGGCTCCTTTGACTTCTGAAGTACAACTTCCTCAAAGAATAAGTTCAGATATATATTAAAAAGTTCAGATATAGTTCAGCTTATAGTTACAGAAAAAGTTTTCACCATGGAATCAAAAGTGATTTATGGGACTATCACACTGGGATTATAAAACATGCACTCGTATAGGTTGCTGTGTGTTTTCCAGGCTGTATGGCCATGTTCCAGAAGCATTTTTTCCTGATGTTTCACCCACATCTATGGCAGGCATCCTCACAACTTCTGAGGATGCCTGTCATAGATGTGGGTGAAACGTCAGGAGAGAATGCATCTGGAACATGGCCATACAGCCTGGAAAACACACAGCATCCCAATAGTTCTGGCCATGAAAGCCTTTGACACACAATGCACACATACGTTATCCAAGACTCTATATTGTAACCTACTAACAGATATTAAGGTGGTAAAGATTTCGGCTAGGAATTTAAGATGTCTATCTTAAATTATCTGCAAATAATACAGGTTGCCATATGTCAAAGCCAGCCTGACAGCCGATATTTCCAGTTTCTAAGTATGATGGTGAAAACTGGAGCCTCAAAACCATTTGTGTGATCTTGCTTTTGTTCTCACTAAGTATCTCCTGAGCATAAGGATGGTAAGGGAGAAAGCATAGACAAAGTGTATTCCCTTGAATAATATGTAGCCTTCAAAGTGAATATGCATTGTCGAGGGCTTTCATGGCTGGAATCACCGGGTTGTTGTAGGTTTTTCGAGCTATATGTCCATGTTCTAGAACATGGTCATATAGCCTGAAAAACCTACAACAACCCAAAGTGAATTATTTTTGAATGGTGTGTGATTTTTAACCTTTAAAGATCATTTTTTCACTCTCAGAGGCTTAGAGAAGTGATAATTTTCAGGAAAAAAAATCACTTTAAGACTCAAATCTCACATGTACCCCAGTTTCCAACTGTGAAATGTTGGAGAGTAGAAGTCAAACATTGTGTCCTGGTCCTTGCACAGGATGAGTTCTGAGTTTTGATAACAGTATACAAAGCTTTCAAGAACTTAGGAGAGCAGGGAACAACTGTGACCAGAAAATGAGAACAAAAGTTATGTATAATTTTCTTCACTGACCAGCTTTCACAACCATATGTGTACCAAGATGCCATGCTTCATTGTTCGCTTCTTTTCTAAGATTTTGTGAGCTTTGTATACTATCATGGAAACTTTGAAGTTAGCTTGTTGGACAATATGCAACTAAGGTCTCTTATTTATGGGGTCACCATTACTCAAAGTCAACTTGAAGAGCAACACAACAAAAAACAAGGAACCATCCCAGAGGATTAGGGCCGGCTTACTAGCTGCAACTTCCGAATCAGTCTCAATTGACATCTAACACAAAGGGTAGTAAGCTAGTTTTGAGGTTACACCAACTGTAGAAAGGGGAATGGAACAGGGTACACAAGACTTCAATTTAGTTATCACAGTGATTTTGTTCACAGTGTTTTCATTATTTGCAGCCACTCTTCCCAAGTATGCTCCCTCCTTGTTGTCCTTTTGTTGGGAAATAGAAGCTTTTCTATTTGGATAGGTTTGTAGTATCTGACAGCTATGGCTCTTCATAGTGTGCTGTATTATCAACTTCTACATTTTTAATGGATTTATTTTCAACTCTTTAGATCAGGGGTCCTCAAACTTTTTAAAGAGAGGGCCATTTCATGGTCCCTCAAACTGTTGGAGGGCCGGGTTATAATTTGAAAGAAAAACATGAATGAATGAATTCCTACGCACACTGCACATATCTTATTTGTAATGCAAAATACACTTAAAAACAATACAATAATTAAAATGAAGAGCAATTTTAACAAATATAAACTTATTAGTATTTCAATGGGAACTGTGGGCCTGCTTTTGGCTGATGATCTAAATTTTGGAGGCTGGCATTTTGTTTTGAAATAACCAGTTAAAGTTTGAGTTTGTTGCCTTTAATTTATATACAAAGAATCTGGATTTTTCTGCTTTATCTTCAGAGAGAAATTTCCCAAATGTATGGCGATATAATCTATAAACTGATTGGTATCAGTTTTATACTGAGGTTAGGAGGAAATAAACTTTTTGTATTACTACTCCAAGAATCCCCCATCAGTCACACAAATTTAGGGATTCTGGTACAGTCGTTATGGTCCAAATAACTAATTTTTCCCAGCTCTGGCTTTGTGACACTACTATTGTCAGTTTTGGTGGTGCTTCCCAAAGATTACGAGAAGCCAGACCACAAGGACTGAAACAAAGAAGGAATCCATTCTCTGAGACTTTGATCTGGCTTTTAAATAACAAAGGAGATTCAGATGCCAAAAAAAGAAACACAACTTCATGTTGACCATGCCAGTCATCATAGCCAGATTAGTCTTTGCAAGGCGTGGCAATGAAATCCTACCCCATCAAAGAACAAAGCGATATTTGAAAAATCTGGGATCTCACCCAGTTGGTGAAGCTGGAAACTACTTCCCAGGCTCTCTGTCAAAGGTTGGGGGAGAAACTACAGGGTCTGGACATTCGGAAACTCTTGGGTTATTAAAACATATGTACTGATGCAATTCAAAGTCTGTATATGAAGACAATTTTTCATAGACTGACTTCCAATGTGTTTTGACCAACTATTAAAAACCTCACTTGACTTTTAAAGTCCTTAAAAGTCTTTGGACTAGACTGGCTTAATTATTGTTTTCTCCTCTCTGAGCCTAACATTGGAGACATTCCTGGGGGATCCAACTAGCATTAGAAAATAGGCAAGTAAAGATCCGACAAAGCAGGGTTTAAAACTGAAATAAACACATGCAAACACAGGCATACATTAATTGTAATTGGCATCATGGAGCTATTTTAATGCTTTTATGGCCTTTGGAGAGAAGTGCATTTTAGAACACTGGAAGAAAATGGCCAACTGAGTATCACCTATATTTTAACAAAAGCACTGTGACAATAGGTTGCTGTAGGTTTTTTGGGCTGTATGGCCATGTTCTAGAAGCATCCTCTCCTGACGTTTCACCTGCATCTGTGGCAAGAATCCTCAGAGGTTGTGAGGATTCTTGCCACACAACCTCTGAGGATGTTTGCCACAGATGCAGGTGAAACCTCAGGAGAGAATGCTTCCAGAACATGGACATACAGTCCGAAAAACATACAACAACCCAGTGATTCCGGCCATGAAAGCCTTCGACAATACACTATGACAATACTATTCATCCAGATGTATTTGTAGTGTAACTGATCCCCCCCCCCCCCACATATGCAAATTCCTTGTTGATTTCAAGGGGAAAAAAAACATCATGAACACCCAGTAGCAAAATCTGCATAATTTGGAAAGGCTACCAGAGTTGAAAGGCAGCATGAATCCACATTCAGCTACAAGGTCAGAAGTTGGCTGTGGAGCTGTGCTGGAGGATCAAGAGCAGAGCCTTCCAAACCGTGTGTTTCAACACACTAGTGTGTCGCCTGTAGTCCACAGGTGTGTTGCATGAAAAATGTTCAATTCCAGAAACAAAGGCTGCCTGGTGAGGGAGTGCATTGGCTGCCCCTGGCAGAGGAGAAGAGGAAGAGAAGGAAGCAGCAGCAGCAGCTGCGGCCACTCGGAGCAGTGCCAATCCCAAGCCTGGGCCCCACCATGCTCCTCCTCTTGTCATCCTCAGCTCTCCACATCGCCCTCAATGGCAGCGGCCCAAACAGCACCCCAGCCACAGCTGGGGAAGGAGGAGAGCAAGGAGGAGGAGGAAGAAGAGACCTCCAAAGGGCATCTAGTCCAACTCTCTTCAGGAATGCAAAATCGACACCTGTGAGTAACTGTGGCCATCCAACCTCTGTTTTAAAACTTCCAGAGAGGTTTAATCACTACTGGAGTGGACAGCTGGTGCTGTTCAAGTGCAGGTATCGTTATAACTTTTATAATTTGCACAATGTGTTGAGTGAATTGCAGTAATACACACACATTGCATAAAACTCTTATAACGGGTTAGTTTAACCTCAAGTTTGCTAGTAAAAATGAATGACTGTGTTGCGAAAGGATGCATGTCTAAAAAGCATGCCAGCCACATGAAAAGTTTGAAAAATTCTGATATAGAGATTAATAGAGTGAATTCCTCTCTAGGAATCTTCCCGCAGAGGTAGAAAACAGCAGTTTATTGTCGAAGGCTTTCATGGCCAGAATCATTGGGTTGTTGTAGGTTTTTCGGGCTGTATGGCCATGTTCTAGAAGCATTCTCTCCTGACATTTTGCCTGCATCTATGGAGGCATCCTCAGAGGTTGTGAGGTCACAATCTCTGAGGATGGGTGCTATAGATGCAAGTGAAACATCAGGAGAGAATGCTCCTAGAACTTGGCCATACCGTCCCAAAAACCTACAATCCAAAACAGCAGTTGCACCCCAACCCCAGTGGCTGTGACAGGCATGCTGTATTCTATTTTATAAGCTAGAAGCATACCATTCATGCAGAGAAAGTTGCCTTAGTACCCCATCCATTATACACACACAATTGCAAAAACATGGGCAAGAACACAACTTTTTTAAAAAAAAATGTCTGTAAACAACTCCCCCCCCCCCCAATTTGTTAGTCTCTATACTGGGAGAAAGGCAAAATAAAAATAAGGTAAAGAAATACAATAAGTTTAACATCATAATCAAAAAGGAGGAGAAAAAGCAGCAGCTGCAGCAGCCAATACATAACAGGGTTTTTACCTTGGGAGGTTGGTACTGAAACCGATGGCAGTTGCACTGGAGAAAAACTGATGCCTCCATTAAGGAGCTGACCACCGGTTGCCAAATTAGGGAGTTGAACAACACCATATTGGTTTATTTGGACAGGAGCCGAAAAAGTAACCACAGAACTGCTGTCTTGTGGAGCTATGGCTTCTTCACTTTCTTCCCGTTTCACCTCCATGCTGGGTATCAATCCTGGGAAAGAGATAGGGACAGAACTGGGGCTGTAGGTTGTTGTCGTTGACGATGAAGATGAGGCGATTGAGTTGGCCAAGGAAGTCTGGAGGATTTTGAAGTCTTTCACGTCTTCCGGAGAAGGGGCTAAGATGTCCGTCATGGAAACACCATTGCTCAATTCATTTGGGGATGTTTTGGGTGAAGCGGATGACAATGCCTGCGAGGTCCCCACATTAAGCCCATTGAGGAGGACACCGTTGGGTCCCTGGATGAAAGACGTGCCATTAAGAAAAACAGGAGAAGGACTGGAAGGCACCAAGTTTCCATTCAACAAGACTCCTGAAGGGCTTAAAGATATTTTGGAGTTTCCAAGCTGTTGCATGTAGACTGGCTCCATATGGCTAGGAAGGGTTAAGCCGGCGGTGCCGTCTGAAGTGCCGACCAGAGAATGCGGAGATAAGTCCTCTTGGCCCTTGCTGGACTCATCTTCTGTGCTGGGGTTGCCATCTGACTCACTACAGGGAAGAAAGAGAAAAGGGTGACTTCATATGGCATCTCTAAAGGATACCAAAATGCAGGTGGCAGTGGTTGTTATTGATATTCAATTCATATTATACAAAGTTGTACAGTCTTAACCTGCCTTTAGTAAGATAACAAGGAGGGCAGCTACTCTGAGAAAGAAGTTCCAGAGCCTGGGAGCAGCTATTGAGAAGGCCATGCCTCTCACGTTCCTTCCATACGTCCCAGTGAAGGTGATGGGACAGACAGAAGCACCTCCCCAGAAGATGGAATGTACGTTTTATTGATTAGCCCATTGGCTGTATCAAAAGTCTCCCCAGAAGATATCAAAACACAATCAGGTTCATACACAACCATGAATTCCATTTGAATCTTCTCTCATGGGAGGAAAAATGTCTTGACATATTGAGAATTTCAAATACAAATATCTCTGCCTTTAAAAAAAACTATTTAATAATGGGATTACACACCATGGGTGGCTTCAATGTCAGTTAGGTGATTATTCTGCTTCAGGTTTTAGTCCAAACCTAAAGAAAGATCGTCTGGGGAGGCCCTGCTCTCGGTCCAAACCTAAAGATGGGATCTGTTGGGCCACTGAGTCCAATTCATTGCTGAATCTCCAGCAAAAGCATTCCCTAGAAAGGAGCTGTCCAGTCTCTTTTGAGAATGTCCAGATAAATGGACATCATCACCTCTCTAGGCAAGTGGTTCCATTGCTGGACCGCTCTCACTGTCAATAAGTTAAATCAAAATCTATTCTCCTGTAACTTCAAACCACTAGACCTGGTCCTACAGGCCTGTTCCATTCTCTCTGTGGCAGCACTTGTGGGATTTAAAGATCGTCTGGGAAGGCCCTGCTCTCAGTCCCGCCTCTGTCGCAGGCACATCTGGTGGGAACGAGAGAAAGGGCCTTCTCAATGGTGGCCCCTCGGCTGTGGAACTGCCTCCCAAGTGATATTAGAGCAGCTCCCTCCCTCCTGGTCTTCAGAAGGAAAGTGATAACCTGGTTCTGGGGTCAAGCCTTTGGAGATTAATCTATAGTGCAATAATAGCCTTGACTTCATGCAATTAATCTTTGGAATGGGCCCAGATTATGATTGAAGATAGCATGATTTTAATAGTGAATGTAATGTTTTATATATTTTAAAGTGCATTTAGTTTTAATTTTAGTTTTTTAACTTAAGTACACTCTAACTGTTTGTTATCCAAAGGCATTGAATAGTTGCCATATGTAAAGCCACCTTGAGTACCCTTCGGGATAAAGAAAGGCGAGATACAAATAGAGTAAATAAATAAATAAATAAATAAAACACTGAAATCATGTCATCCTTCAATCATCTCTTTCCAAGGGATGCAGCCTAAGGATTCCTAGAGAGCTGCGTTCTTAGATTATTTTTGAAATTTGTGGTTTCCCCACTTTTGTGAGGGTTCTGTACCCCCTAATTTCCATGAAAGTGGAGGTCTACTTATACTAGTCTCATCTTCTCTCTAACTTAATAAAACTTATTTATATTCTGCCCTTTTTTCCCCAGGGAGACTCGGGGAGATTCCAACATACAAAAAGGCAAACATTAAACTACTCAATAAAGCAACGAAATCCAATATAATGATCCAAAATAACCCCACACAGACAACAAACTTAGAACCTGACATCCATAAATCAATTAAAACATAATTATATAGTGACATAAAACCTGAACAAAAACATCCACATTGATTTACAGGAGCCAACTAAAGTTCACAAAGTTATATGGATTGGGTTGTTGTAAGTTTTTCGGGCTGTATGGCAACAGCCAGGAGCTCTTAACATCAATGTCCTTCAAACTAGTGGTCCCTAGGAAGATGCCGGTCTCTTAGACATTTACCACTGGAAATGTTCCAGGAAAGAGAGAAAATCTGTAGCCAATGGGTACACATATGGTGAGAGTCCCTGGGAATACACTGGTGGTCCCCATAACCAAATAGCTCAAGAAGCACTGCTCTAAGAGACCTGGAATTCTGAAAAACCACACAGAGAGCCTCGAGATGTAATGATGAATTATATACTCCCAAAGAAGGCTTAAGACCTATTTAAATCAGGCGGGAGCCCTAATGTGAACTCATTCCGGCAGAAAGAAGCCGAGATAATTTCTCCTCCCATCACTCACCCTCACCCTTGGGTGGAATAACATTACGGTGCAAATACTGCAGAATCAGTGCAGGCTGTCCATCAAACCGCACTTTGGCATCCAAATGGTTCATGAAAATGATACACAAGTTATATTAATTACAGAGAGTTGAAACGTGCCCTCCAGGTCCTATTTCTAGAGCAGTCTAACATGTTTAATGCAAATGTAATGAAAGGAAAGATACAGGCTGACGCCAACCTTTCTGTCTGCTGCTAAATGCCTTTGAAAGGGGCACAAATGGATTGGCACCATCGAGGAGCTGTTTGGCACAGGGATGGAGGTACTAACAAGCTCTTACTATTGCATCTGCAATTGCAGGATTTTCTAGGATGTGCTATTACGAACCGATACGATCTCTTCAATCATCTGGAGAGGCCCTTCTCGCGCTCCCACCTCCTTCGCAGGCGAGATTGGTGGGGACAAGGGAGAGGGTCTTCTCGGTGGTGGCCCCCCTACTATGGAACTCATTTCCCAAGGACATCAGACATGCCCCAACGCTGGCAGTCTTTGGGAGGAGCTTGAAAATGTGGTTGTTCCAGTGTGCCTTCCCAAAATAAGGAAAACCTTTAGCAATATGTCCCCAAATGCACTTTAATATTGATGTAGGATTGTCTGTGCGCCCTCATCTTTCCTTGAAAACCCTATCCTAGTTATGCCATACCTTGTTCATGTCCAGCATTATTTTTAAAATTTAATTATTACATTTGGCCCGGCCATAGGTTTTTAAATGCTTGTATGTTATTGTTATTGTGTATTGTGTATTTTTGTTTATGAGATTTATTTTAACTGTTTTGTATTGATTATTTGCTATTGCCTTTGTTTATTGATGTACTGCGGGCTTGGCCTCATGTAAGCCGCACTGAGTCCCTTGGGGAGATGGTAGCGGGGTACAAATTAAGTTATTATTATTATTATTATTATTATTATTATTATTATTATTATTATTAAGCAATTCCTAATAAACGACTCATGAACCCAGCCTATTTTCTTGGGGAAATTATCTTGGGATAAGAAGAGATTACCATGGGCTGTTTAGATGTTGGGTGGCAAATTCTGAGAATTGGAATACAAAAGCAATAGTTAATTTTTTCGATCTCTAATCGTATCTTCCACAGTGGCCCACAAACTTCTTCTGTTGATGTTTACAAGCTAAGTATTAACGCAATAAATTTTTACATGTCTCCTTGCTCTTTGGAATCCTATTTCCTGAAGTTATGCAAACTAACAGAAGCTGTGCAATGTTCAGTTTAGAAAGAGCAAATCATCTCATTTTTAGAAGCTGAGATTGTCAAGGCATGTTGTCACATAAAGAACATCATAGTTTTGAAGATAAACCAAATAAACATTTCTTGATTTTTTTAAAATGGCATTTGTTTATACTAATCATTTTGATTTATTTTAGGTAATGGTAAATATATACGCATGAGTTGATTTTATAAATATCTTTATTGATGTTTTTAATATGTATTGTATGTATGTCAGGCATGGACAAACTTCAGCCCTCCAGGTGTTTTGGACTTCAACATTTATTATTATTATTATTATTATTATTATTATTATTATTATTATCATCTTTATTTGTAACCCGCTAGCATCTCCCGAAGGACTCGATGCGGCTTACAAAGACCAAGGCCTCAACACAACATAACAATACACAACCTAAAGCAAATTAAAAACAATTAAAGCAATATTAAACAACAAGCAATAAACAATACACCAAGACACAATAAAACTGGGCCAGGCCAGAGTAATGGGTACAGAATTTAAAGTGCTGATGTGACAGGTGATATGTAAGGATTATAGGGTAAGTGCAGTGTGCAGCCATTTTAATTCTAATAAAGTGCATCTGGGACTTGTTGTTGGAGTTTCCTATTCTGGAAAGGCACATCGGAACAGCCAGGTCTTCAAGTTCTTTCTAAAGACTGTCTAAGATCTTTGGGGAGGGTGTTCCAGAGTCGGGGGCCACCACAGAAAAGGCCCTGTCTCGCGTCCCCACCAAACGCGCCAGGCAGAATCACGAACAGGGCCTCTCCGGTTCATAAACGGAGATGCGGTCACGCAGGTAGGATGGTCCCAAACCATTTAGGGCTTTGTAGGTAAGCACCTGCACCTTAAATTGGGCTCGGAAAATAAACGGCAGCCAGTGCAGCTCCTTGAACAGAAGGGTTGACCTCTCTCTGTAAGGAGCGCCAGTTAACATCCTGGCCGCTGCCTGTTGAACCAGTTGGAATTTCCGAGCCGTTTTCAAGGGCAGCCCACGTAGAGCGCATTACAGTAGTCCAATCTAGAGGTGACCAAGGCATGGACCACCCCGGCCAGATCAGCCTTTGCGAGGTATGGTCGCAGTTGGCGCACGAGTCTCAATTGTGCAAAAGCTCACCACCGACGCCTGAGCCTCAAGCGTAAGCAATGAATCCAAGAGGACTCCCAAACTGTGGACCTGTGGCTTCAGGGGGAGTGTAACCCCGTCCAACACAGGTTGCCACCCTATACCCCGATCAGGTTTACGATCAACCAGGAGGACCTCTGTCTTGTCGGGATTGATCTTCAGCTTGTTCCTCCTCATCCAGATTGACACAGCCAGTAGGCTGTTAGGAATTGTGGGAGTTGAAGTCCAAAACACCTGGAGGGCCAAAGTTTGGCCATGCCTTATGTATGTGCATGTACATGTGTATGTCTACTGAACCATCCTCCATATTTGTAGGTTAAATATTTGTGAAATTAGTTATTTGAGGAATATTGTACGTCATCACATTTCTGCTGTGCTACACATGATCAAGTGCCAAATCATATTACTTGCAATGTATTTCTTTTTAAATGGAGATGGT